CTCCGCCCCCCATAGTGAGGATTAAGGTGTAGAGATGATGGATGGATGGATGATTCAACACAGTTCAACAGCTGCTAATAAAGCCATGTTTAATCATGACTGATCAGTATTTACTCCACACCAGCTCTGTTTATCGGTAACAGAACCGTTGTCTGGGTCCACATCAGCATGATATCTATTAGATTTTATTCATGATTATTAGAGCAGTAGTTGAGGTCATCAACCTCCACAGAAGTCTCGGTCATGGTGCCTGCTGCTAGCTAAACTCCCACAACATGAACTGTCTGTAGTCTGAGTGATGAATCCTCTGGTGTCTACAAGAGGCTCCACCTGGTGGAACAACCAGGTACTACAGCTGGTCTATGACACATGACCTTCCTCTGCTGCTTTATTCGCTAAAATGTTTTCTATTAGTTACTAAGAATTCACCAACTAACAATAAATCATTAACAGCTCTAACTCAAAGTAATGATATAAAACTGACAGTTAGTGTCAGCATTTAATTTTTTATTTTTTTTTTAAACTGAAGAGTCACATGAAAACAATCTGACAGTCCAACATTAATCACCATCAGATCCATCAGGCCAGAACCTGGAATCCAGTTTAACTTCCAGTGATTAGAACTTCCTCTAAAAAGCTGTGGACCTCTATGAGTCTGGCACAAAGATCTCCAAATGACCTGAAATACATCGTTCGACAGGAGGAACATTATCTACCAGAGGTGCAGATTTCAGTTTGTCCCAGACCGCCAAGTAAATTCAGCCACAGAGCAGATACACAAAAGAAGTTCCCAAGAAGGCAGCGATTCCTGCAGGATACGCCAGAAAATCTTCAGCTGCTGGTGTCAAAGTGCTGCAGCCACAATCACAAAGAACACATCTGAGCGGTAGGAAGGGAAAAGCCTTCACCCGCTGGACAGAACGCAGTGTCAACACAGGCCTGCAGTCATGGATTCAACCCTCATCAAGAACCAGATCAAAGATAGCTTTAAGATAAAGTGAGACGTCTGAGGCTCACAGAGAACACATGGAGGCTATGGGGGCCGATGCATGGAGAAATGTCGCTGGGAGGTTCATCAAGTCAGTCTCAGATATGTGGACGACTGGTTAAAACACTGACAAGAAGGTATCTCTGCTAAAGAAGACGACAGGAGCTTCTGAGGGAGCTTTCTGTTTCCACAGAGGAATATTACATTTGCTGGTATTTTTGTTAATCTGAAGGTGCCGTTTGTCAGGAGGCAAGAGAAGAGCTGCACACTTCCATTCGCCTGCTGATTTCTCCACATGCCAGTCTACTCAGGGATCAGCAGGAACCAGTGAGCCAGTCTGAGCTCTTTCATCACTTGGATAAAATCAGGTCAGACTTACAATCTGCACACTGTGAAAACTGACAGACCAGAGTCCATGAAGCTGTTACATGAAACAAGCAAATGTGCCGGCTGGATGTCTTCAGACTGGTTTATGTGGCTGCTGTCGACCTTCACAGCTTTCCAAAGCTCACACAGCTTTCTGTTCAGCTCATCCACTTTGTTGTGTGTACCAGACACAAGCTTGGAAGTAAAATGAATTTGTGAAGAAACACTTGAGTGTCTGTGTTGGAGTGAAGCTGAGGGAGGAACAGGTAATCCTGAGTAATCCTGCCAATGAGGCTGATGAATTGCAGAAAATACGACGAGGCTCAGGACTCATAAAGACGGGATCAGCTGATGACTCACAGCTGCGTCTGCGCTGACATTCATTTAGATCAAAATAGTTTTCTGTGCAGCTGGATGATGTGAGAAACTCTCCAGAGAGAAACTGCTCAGCATCAGGACACGTGACGCTGTTGAGTGTAAAAACGCTCAACATCTGAATGGAGTCTGGTTCAGCCTGAACAAAACTCTGGATGACACCTGAGCCGCCCTTCTCAGGTACCATGTTCCAGTTTACACATTAAAACATTTCATCAGGGCTGCAGATAACGATCTTTTATTTATTAGCAATTTATTAACAATGCTATTAGCTATTATTATTTCCACTGTCAGTTGTTTTCTGGATGAATTTAGTCCCACAAAGTCAGAAACTGGTGAAAATGTGGATCAGAGTTTCCTCAGGGGTCTTCTGATGTTCAGTTTACTGTCATCAAGGAAGAACCAAATCAGAAAATATTCACATTGAAGGAGCTGATGTCCCAGAATTTAGACTTTTTAATTATTTCCTTTAACAGGTTTTTCACCTTTGCTGACAGAGCAGTGACAGATAAACAGGAAGTCGGAGAACAACGGGGAGAGACCGCAGCAAAGGGCTGTGGGCGGGAGTCGAACCCACGACCGCTGCATCGGGAGCTCTAGTCTGTTCACGGGTCACAGTCTGATCCAGTTGAGGTACCAGGGCGCCCCGAGATGTTTTTATTTTAAAAAATATTCAAACTGATGAATCAATTATCAAAGTACTTAGAGATTAAATTAATATTTGACAACTAATCATTAATCAATTAAGGTTCAATTTAATTAATAAAAGCAAACAGCGACTTTTTACCCACAAAATACTTTATTGATTCTCCGTACTCAGTGATATTTCTGTACAAAGTGTTTTGTTTCTATGCAGCTTTGTGAACGTCTCCACCTCTGCTCCAATCACAGCGCAGCAGCCGGACAGCATCACTTGTTGCTGGGCTGGGCGGCAACGTAGAGGGCCACCAGGCAGTAGACCACGCCCCCCACCGTCAGACCCATGGTGGTCCGGTACAGCAGCTTGTCTATCATACGCCTCTTCAGGTGGACTGGGACGCTGTCCGGCACCTGACAGAGAGCCAAACAAGTTACCTGAGGGGGCGGGGCTTATCACAGTGATGTACAAAATATATCACAAAGCTCCCTGACTGTACGCAGCAGACCAGGTGTGAGTCCAGATGTTTCTGTACCGTCAGTGATGATTAACCTGCATGTGGA